CTTTAAAAGTTCTATTCATGATCGGACGTATACAGGCTCTAGATACAGTCGGGCTATTATTAAATTGATATTTTAAATACTTTTATTATAGTACCATCCCACTTTTGTTTAGACCATCCATATAATTATTTATCTTAATAAAACAATATGGACTCTGCGGCAAAAATGGATCGAGACCTTCATCTAATCTACTGGATATTTTAACCAAAATACGGTGCCACATCCCTCTTAATATCTTTTTATAACAACAGTGTTAAAACGTATCTCACTCAGTGACTAGAGTTGTATATTCTTGCGTCGATCAATGACGTTATTTTGTTCACATTATCTTGATGAGCTTGACCCGTCGGATAAGAGATAAAAGTTATAGTGAATATCTACAGGAACTTGTAATTTTCAAATAAAATAAATAATAATTAATTGAGTGCTCCCAGTGAAACGCCATTTGCTCTCTGACTTTTGCCATCCTCATACCTGTGATGCGTCCCGGACATGAATATACACAAGATTCATCTATTGCCAGGGACGGATGAAGTGGCTACAGTCACCTCAAATCTAGCGCTAGCGAGAGTTATATCCTACTTCTTGTTGTCTCATCTCTTCTCGTTACAGTCGAATCTGGGTTGTTATGTTCTTAGAGAAGAGAGATGATATACAGAACCGAGAAGAGATAACAGACACTATAACGTTTTCAGATCGTCTTGATCCGAAGCGAATTTTCACTAGTCGCTAATTGGAGAGAGCAGAATTTGTGATGCACATGCTCTCGTATAGCAGTCAATAATGCGGATGTGTTGCTACCCTTCGGTCGGGTCGAGTAAAACCCAATATTCTTACAACATGGGTTGCGGGTTTCTCATTGTGTATCTAATCCTGACCCGTGGCAAAACCGGAGTGGATATTAGTGGTCAAAACCCATTTGAATTCCGGTGTCAACTCAGATGGACCCGAATCCAAGACCTGTCAAAACCCAGTTTGACACTTTTTCTATATCAAAGGTCTTGAACTATACTCTTTTTTTACCTCCAGCAGTGCTTACTTTGTCTCTGTTTGGATTCTCTGTTTTATGCTTTTTTTATTTAACCGACAAAACTTGTCGAATTGTTGATTCAACACTCTGATCAATTTTTAATAGAGAATACTTTCTTTTTAAAGTTATTTCTATTACAGGACACTCACCAATTTTAAGAAGTTGTTGGTGTTCTTCTTTGATTTTATCACACTAACCCCCAACAATAACTCCAATATTCTCCACTTGTGAACCAATAATAAAATTTGAACCACAATGGCTTCATCATCTCAAGGAATGATGATGACTAAAATGACCACTAATCCAGAAGCGGTGCACCCCTTTCTTACAAAGAGATTAATTATGTGCGAGAGTGTGGACGGGATAGAACCTCCCGCACAAGCATGTACCTAGCGGTACCTGTACTCGGGTACACTGAGTACCGCTGGTACCCAATCTTGTCACGTTTAGGGTGTCAATATTTGACCCGACACGAAAACTTGACGCCGAACCCCGAACCCGCTTTGAAAAGTCGGGTCGGGTTCGGTTAATGAATTCGACCCGTTTGAAAAAACCGGGTCGGTTTTGGGTTGGCCCGGCAACCCGCCGCGTCAACCCGCCAAACCCGGTATTGAACCAGACCTGCCCGCGACTTCTGGCCCTGCTTGCCCGCGGACCCTGCCCCGGCTGACCATGCCGATCCGTAGCGCGTAACGAGGCCGGCCCTGATTGCGGTTCGCGTGCCCGCTCGCCCCCGACCCGCTCGTCGACGCGCACCCGAGCCCGCTCGCTCCCGCTCGCCGGCGCGCACCCGCGGTCCGTGTCGGGTTGGGTCAACCCGGAAACCCGCCGGGTCGGGTTCGGGTTCGGATTTCCGACCCGTTTTCCTACTCGGGTCGGGTTAGGGTCGACCCGTTTGAACCCGGGTCTGTTCCGGGTTCGACCCCAACCCGACCCGTGACCCGAAATTGACACCCCTACTTGTGTTGACGGTGCGCACTCCGCACCTAATAATTTTTGCTTTCTTATAGTCACTTTTCTTACCGATGATGATTTGCTATTTATAATAGCAGATCATAGTCCACGCTCTCATATTACTGACTTGATATATAATAACATTTTGAACCATATTTGGATAGACCTTGGATCTCCTATCAATGTTGTGATAGCTTAAACACTTAGGCTTCGGTTGGGATGACTTTTTTATTGCTTCTTATAAAAAAATTTTAATATACAAATCAAAATGTTTTTATTAAAACTTGATTTTAAGAAGCAATTAAAAAGCCATCCCGAACGAAGCCTTGAGCTTCAATGTTCGAGTACAAAAAAGCTATGTTCATATAGATTGATTTTACACCCTTCAATGCAAAGGGCAAAAAGACTATTGGCTTTATCATTTCCTTTACAATTTAGTGAGCTTGAAGCATAAGCCAAAGTTTGTGTTATTTATGGTAACACACCCTTTTGTACTTTACTCGAATGTCCTTCGCTAAACAAATGCGAGATGGCATCTTATACATTACATCAGTGCATTAAATACACTCATAGAGATGAAGAGTTTTCTATGAAATGGGAATAGATGATGATATTGAATACTATACGCCTAATCAAAGTTTTCTGGGATACACTCAGCTACCCTTGAGCTCTGACTATATGCAAAATACTCTCCCATTCCTTCTAAGTTTCGGTTGGGACAGTTTTTACTACTATTTTTTCCCTGATTTTAATAAAATTTTGTACTAAAAATTGGTTGTAGAAAGCAATAAAAAGCTATCCCAAATGAAACTCTAATCTCATCTAAAAAAGGAAGTATAATGGCAACCTAGGTCGCATCTAATTAGTTTTTGTTGTCACAAATATTTTTATCCACATAATCAAAATCACATTCTTAAGGAGTAATAATAAATATAAAAAATAGTGACTAAAAACATTTTTATCCATTTTTTTATCTTAATTACATTATTCATTATTGAGAAAAAATGACTAAACCCAAAATTCTTTTAAGGGTTATTTGGTTTGTGAAAAGGAATGCAAAATAAAAAGAATACATTATAAAATAAATATATTATATTTGAAATATTTTAATATTGTTTATTTTAGCATAAAATAAATACATGAGATTATATTTTTGTGTTTTATTCAAAGTAAAATAAATTCAATGTAAAGCTCGATGGAGTTGGTGATGATGCAGTTGTGCTGAAGATCAACGATGGCTAGTGGCAGTCAAGGTGGTTAGCAACAATAATATTAGTTGTGGTTGCAACAACGATGACAATGCATGATAATAATGTGGGGAGGGTTTTAAAATGTGTTAGTGATGATATGTAAGTCTTGGAAAGGGTTGTGATGAAGAGGTTTTCAAGTTCCATACAATTTGAAGGTGATATGCTTAGGTGTTAAAATTCTAGATGAATTTTGACACATAGGGTTTAGACTTTTCAGGCTTCAGGCATTCTAGGACTTGAAAACGCTTAGAGGTGGAGTAGTGTCTTAAGAATAATTCTTAAAATTGTTCATTAAATTTCAAGGAGTTTTGATGGATCAAATGAGGATTAAAACACAACTAGGTTAGAATTAGCATAATTTTGGCTAAAGGTTTTAGGAAGGATTTGAATGGGATTTTATGGAGAGAGAGCTTGAAAATGGATATGGGATTAGGGGTGTCAATATTTGACACGACCCGAAAACCATACTCGAACCCGATCTGAAAATTTCGGGTTAGGGTCAACCCGAACCCGAAACGGGTCGGGTTCGGGTTCAGCATTTCGACCCGTTTAAAAAATCGGGTCGGGTTTGGGTTAACCCTTTGACCCGAAAGTGACCCGATTTTGACCCGAAAACCCGATTTTGACCCGGTAACCCTAGATTGACCCGATTTTGACCCGAAAAGAGGAGATTGGCCCATTTTTGACCCGAAAATTAGCCATTTTTTTGTTAGAAACGGGTCATTCGGGTCGTGTTGGGTTGACCCGGACCTGAAGCGGGTCTGGTTCGGGTCAGGAAAACTGACCCGTTTGTAAAAATGGGTCGGGTTCGAGTTGACCCGAATAGTGCCGAGTCAATTTCGGGTTCGACCCGAACCCGGCCGAACCCGACCCGTGACCCGAAATTGACACCCCTATATGGGATGGTGATGAGATGATCGTAAAATAGTTCTACAATAATTTTTAAAATAAACAAAAGATAAAGTTGCTGCTCACCAGAGTAACTAGATTACCAAGATTAAAAGAAACTTATGTCACTTAACAAAAGATAAATTGACACCCTGCTGTCCTGAACCTTCCCTAACTTTAGTCCTCGTGAAGACTGGCTTGTTCCGCTTTCCCTCCCCACATGCTCAATACCAACCCCATTCCAACAAGCTAAAACCGTGCATAATCCCTTTAAAGAATGCCCTGTAGTTGATGATCTTCTCCCAAACAATCAAAAGAAACTTATGTCACTTATTCAAGCCATCAAGAATAGCTAATTTATGGTTCTTAGCATAGTAACCAACGACAAGACTCCCTCCTATAACATCTTCAACCGTTGATAAATTTTTTGGCAAGATGTCGCCTAGCTGGAATACACAAAAGCCAATACAAGAAGAGGTGATTGAAGAAATTCAAAGAGAAATCAATAGCTGCAACAAAGGTTACCAAGATTAGAGTAAAGAGAAGTGGAGGAACATCAAGAAGGAGAAAAATACATTCATCCTTTTCATCAATATCTTTTAAGTGATGAAATCAAAAGAAGATGACATTAGAATTACGCTAGGCAAGGATTATCGGATGATGGAGGAATTATGATTGATCTACCTGATTTTGATCGGTGTCATTCTTCTTACTAAGATATATTAGAAGGTCCACCCCATAAGCCTTCATCTGCACCTTCGATCGAATCCATCTTCGATAGGTTTGTGCATGCTTTCTAACATATGATCATGACGTAAAACATATGGTTGGAGTATGATTGTGTTAAGAAAGTTTATACATATTAATTTTCTAATTACTTTATCTTGATAAACATAGTTCATGATGGGTGTTAGTGAGAAATGTATATGTTCAGATAATCCATCTTTATTACACCTCAGGTTGATTAGGGAAGGGGGGGGGGGGGGTCAAAATGAGGCATGACAGAAACTTTGATTAACCATCACACCCTATCAAAATAAAAATTCTCAAATGAAGAAATTTTGACAACCCCATTAGAAAGTGGTTAATTAAATTCAATCAAACTAAATATAATATTGGATATATTCCATACTCTTTAACATAATGTATTTCTCAATGTTAATAAGTGAAACTTTTAATATTCAAAAAGGGAGAATTGGTCAAATTAGTTAGAAGGCTAATCACTCCACATCTAAAAATTGATGGTGCAATTCAGTGCAACTAGAAAGACCCTTTGGAGTTTGTTCCCTCCTCCCCATCTCCATCTCTATCCAACCCATAATGAATTCCTATTCCTAATTATTGGACTTTTCTGAGTAACCCTCTTACATTCATTGTATTAATATATCAGAAATGCCAACAGTCTATATATGAGAATATCATATTAGATCATGACGTCTCATTAGATGTTCAAGCTTATTTCATAGAACCATAGTTGATAATGGTGTGGCAAAGTCAAGAAAAATTTGCATAAGAAGAGCTTATATTTCATAAGATCTTTTGCAAACTTTTTGCATAACAGTGTACCTTCTTAGTGAGAAATTAATTGTGATTAGTTTTCATATTTTCTTTTGGTCATTAAATTTTTGTGCCTAATTTTCCTTTATTTCTCTTTTCTCCATTTCTTCTAAGAGTAACATTCAACTTTTCGTTTATTTTCATCATGGTTATTAAAATACATTCATTTTACTTTCAAAACAATAAACCATTTTGACTTCCATTTTGACATTATCTCTAACTTATCTTAACTGAGATTATGTGGTCTAGTAGCTTTTCCTTAGTATGTTTTAACTGACTCTAGGCTAGCTTGTGGCTTTCCCTGTGTTACCTTAGATGTCTAAGATTTAGCATAATAATTATCCATGTTAGATCATAATCTTTCCTTAACTGATTATATGTAGTCTAGTGGCCCTTGACTTAATTTCTCTTGAATTGTAAGTAGACTAATGGCTAGACTTTAGAACCTTCAAGTGAAAGTAGGTTCTCTAGTGGATCTTATGTACCTTCATACTCTAAACTACCCTAGTTAGGATGAGGTTATTTAAGAGTTTATCTTAGTTTATTCAAGTTGATATAACTGGTTTAATAACCCACCCTAACTACTCTTAGTTGATCTTAAGTTACCTAATATCCTTATTACCTTTAGTAAACCCTCTATTATAATATGAGTTGTCATGCCACCCTAGATGGAGTTTTTAGAACATTAGACCCTAAGATCTTAGGATGGCATGGTCCATTTCACGGTTGATTATGCCTATTTTTAATGTCTCTAAAGTATATATGTCTTCCAAACATAGAAGTTGGGAGCTTGGGGTAGATTTGCTCACACTAACTTAGTTTTTGACCCTTGATTTTTTAGACAAACTTGATAATGTGACCTTCAACTCTAGATTTCTTCTCATCAAGATGTTGATTTTTACAATAAACATACAGACTTTGATAACATTTGGCAACTTAAATAGCCTCAATAAGTGTTTTATTATTATTATGAGTGATTAATTTGATACATCTCATTGAACCAGCTATGTTTATAATTTCTACATTTTTTAATTCAATTAAATGTTCTTTGAATAAAAAAAATCACAAAAATGCATACTTGATCGCATAAAATTGATGAACCACATTAACACTCATCTTACCTTTCTTCATTCTCCTATTTATAGTAGTTTAAAGATGCAAAAAATTAAATTTTATTTTGAAGTTATAGAATTTGTTACAAAAAGAAAAGAAAAATAAAAAGAATCTTATAAACTCACCCTTTTACTCAATGATGTGATAATATTTTATGAATCTCTTCCACTAATTCTCCTCTCCCATCTAAGCCCCTTAAAATTCCAAAGCCATAAAAAAGGTTGAGCACTTAATAACCATGCATACAAAGCCTTGATGACTATGACATATGCACCTAACACATGATATATCTTCAAAGCACTTTTGTTGCACACATATATGGATCCACCAACTTTGTTCTCCTTTCATTTCGCACTCCCTCACAAGTAGTATCAAATCTAAAGCTTTGATATAGATTAAGTTGTTTATGCCATTTATATATAACTCTATTAAATTTGCAACAAACATTTCAATTGACAATTTTGTGATACATAATCCCATCATAAGATGATCATTGTGATCAATTTTATCATGGATTGGGGGATACAATAAGGCACATTTCCGTTAGTGTTTCACAATGGATCAACGTGGCTGAGCGGTCTTAGCTACATAACTCTTAATAATATTGAAAAAATTGTCGAGTTTAAATAAGCCGGCACAATTTACGTCGGTGATTCGTTGGTTATTACCGACGAAAGTTTTGCCCGAATGATTTTTATACCGACGACATAACCGGCGGTATCTACGCCGGTAAGTTAAATGCGACAATTCCGCCAGAAATACCGCCGTAAAAGTACCGGTGTATTTTCCGCCAGTACACCTGCCGCTTTTTCTAACGTATATTTTGCCGCCATAAAGTCCGACGGTAATAGCAAATTTTTCTGTAGAGAAACTCTCATTTCAAAAGAACTAATTAATGACCATAAGAGATTACTGATCTTATCTAAAATATTAAATTTAGACCCACATTGAATAACTAAAAAGCATATTAGCATATGCTACATTTGGGACAATTTTCTTATTGTTTTGTTTTTCTCACCGAAATCATAATTTCTGTTTGGTCGCTATTTTTCACTACTTAAAAAAAATACTAAAAAGCTACTTTCTACAATAACTTTAAAAGTTAATTTCTCTACAACAACTTTATAAAGCAGTAAATAATCTATCACAAACGAAACTATAGACACAACAGTGATTGATCCTCACAAAGACGCTTAAGCTTTCAGGTTAATGAGCATCAATTTATTAATATATTAGGCCGTAAGCATGTTTTTTTTTTCTTTGAAAATTTAGAGATTTTCTTCAAAAATACATTTATTTGAGTGTGGAAATGAACATTTCTATTAATCCACTAAATAAGATTTAATTAACCAACCAAACACATTTGAGTTGACAGCAAATGACGATAAAGTTGGGATTCTCGATATGTTTTAATGGCGCGCGGGGCTTTTCGTGGGTTGAAACCGGTGTTATTTGCCCGGTTCAAACCGGCGCAAAATAACACCGGTTAAAACCGATGCAGCTTGTTTTGGGTTAAATCGATGCAAAAAATGTGTTTGGGCAGCGGTTTTAAATCTGCTACTAACATGTATTGCGAAAAATCCGATTTTTTAGTAGTGATAATTACAAGTAATTAGCATTTTTTTAATTAATTTTGGCATCAAACCATCTCATCAAGAAAAGTTTACTTTAAAAAAGTAAACATCTGTTAAACATAAATCTATTTACTTAATTATAACCATTATCAGTCAAATATTTTTTAATTAAATCCTAAATGAGTGATTACCAAACTAATCTGCGTGCTTAATTAAGTGATCAAAATGTAGAAGAGAACATCCATTAACCAACGATGAATCAACCAAAGTGATCTCTCCATTAACTAATTGAAAATGAAAAAGAATGCAACACGACAAACACCAATAATCAAATGGCGAATTATAAAATTATCTACCAAATGCAAGCTAGCTAGCTATCAACTATACAAGCGCATGCTTTTCCTACCATCATAAATAAACTATTCTTAATTTATTATTCATTGACACGTCTTCATTCGTGATCGCTTAGAGCCTCAAAAGAAGAATTTGACAATATTGGTGAAGACTCGACAGCCAGCCTTGAAATATCCTGCTTCAAAATTGCCATCTCATGGGCAACATCGATCATGGTCGGCCGCATCGAGGGAGAGTACTGGGTGCACACGAGCCCAAGCTCAATGAGCTCGGAGATCAAATCTCTCTTTAGCTTCTTGTAGTAGAAGGGATCGTGCTGAGCTACGGAGGGTAAGTTTAGGGTTAGTTCTTGCGGGATTATGGAATCAATATTGTTATGGTAGTGATTTTTGACCCATTCATGGAGGGTGAGACCTTCGTGAAAAACTATATCAGTTGGTCGTTTTCCGGTGATAATTTCAAGGAGCAAGACCCCGAAGCTATAAACATCTCCTTGTGTGGATGGATGGCCTCCCAATCCATATTCTGCATAGATAAAAAATATATGCATATTTTATGTTAGTTGTACATAAATAGAAACTTTTAACTATGAAAAAAGCTTCAAACCCTTCAAAATAATATACTTATAACATAAAGTTGCAATACATATTAGCTTCTATTAGGAATTAATTTCTTATAGGATTTTCATCTCATATTTATTTATACATGGATATATATGAACTCTCTCATAAAATTATTTTTTAACAATATTACATAATTCAAATATTGAAAAAAAAAACAAAATATGTATCATTTATTCAAAATTTTATTTATATTTGATAACAATTCTTAGTTTTAAGGTCTTAATTAATAAATATTTAAAAACAATTTATCTCATCTTATTCCAAAAGAAGAACTTGAAAAAAAAAATACAATTACCTAACTTTTTTTCACAAATAGAAGATATTTAATGAAAACAAAAAAGACATTTTGCCTTTTTATATTCATAAATTCTTACAACAAAAATAATGAATAATAGGATTTATATGCACAATATTTAAAAATATCCTATTTATATAGTTAACCTCTAAAACTAAACTACCAATGCGTGTGGAGTCCATATGGGGAGAATCGTCCAGCTTTGTCCCATATTTACTAAGTATTTTTTAAGTATTTGTAAATATTTAGTAAGCAAATATTCAGAACTAAATATTTTGTAAGTATTCTTTGAATATTTTGTAAGTATTTCCTTCATAATAATTTCTCGTCAAATACGTACCTGGCGCAATATACCCAACAGATCCATGCAGAAGCCCACTGGTCGAAATGCAACAGCCCAAGCTCTGATCGAAATCTCCACTCGCGCCACCATCATCTCCTCCCCCTTTAACCAACCTCGCGATCCCAAAGTCCGCCACCAAAGCCGTCATATCTCCATCCAACAACACATTGCTCGGCTTCAGATCACAGTGCACCACTCTGACCGGCGAGTAATGGTGCAAATAAGCCATCCCTTCGGCCACATCGCTCAGCACTCTCACCACCAACTCCAAGCTCAGCTCCGCTCGCTTTGTATGATAGAGCCAGCGCTCGAGGCTTCCGTTGGGCATCAGTGGAAGGACGAGGGCTTTGAAGTCGGGTCGGCTGCAGGCGGTGACGATTCGGATGAGATTGCGGTGTTTGGTTCGTTTTAGAACCTCGCATTCGCGTTTGAAGCTGACGGAGAGTTGAGTGGCGGTGCAGTCAGGCATTTGGTCGAGCACCTTGACGGCGATTTTGGTGCTGGTGCGGAGATTGCCTTTGTAGACGCGGCCGAAGCGGCCGGAGCCGATGAGGTTGGTGTCGGCGAAGCCGTTGGTGGCTTCTACTAGTTGTTGGTAGGAAAGACGCGGGTAGTCGCTGCTGCTTACCAAAGGAAATGAGCAAACTTTAAATTTTTAAGAAAAAAATTTCTAGTTATTTTGGACCGTAGATTTTAAATTTTGTAAAGGAATAATATTATAATTTATGAAAAAATAAATATTTAATTCAAGATAAAAAAAGATATTTTATCATTTTTGAAAAAATAAAAGCAGTGACGGAAAAAATATAATGAAATTTCAGACAGGTTTTTTAGCTCACCAGTGGGTAAAAGTGAAGTCTTCTGTGCTGTCTATGTGCTCAAGCACCGGCCGGCGAAAGCTGGGCAGCCGGCACTTTGGCCTACCTGATCTCTTCATCATCATTGGACATGCAATAAAGAACAAAGACGCAAGTACACTTAGAGTCCCCATAACAGATACTAATATCCGAATCAGCTTTCCAAGCCGATGATCTCTCTGTTGTAATTTGCAGTGTGTTATTCCAGCAAGATTGTAGCCGCAGAGGCCCGGGTTGCCAAAGAAGGAACTTTCAGTAAGGGAGGTGAAGATTCCCTTGCCGGGAATAATGCCAGAGAAATTGTTGAAAGAAACGTTGAGGAATTGGAGAGTGGAAGAAGCTTTCAGAGAATCTGGCATGGCGCCAAGGAGCTGATTGGATGACAAGTCGAGAACTTTTAAGTAAGGCAGAGCTCCTATGGAGCTCGGAAGATTGCCGCCAAAGCTGTTTTTGGATAAGTTAAGGTATTCCAATGCCACGCAGCTTCCAAGCTGTGGAGGTATCATGCCTGATAGATTATTACAAGAGAGATCCAATGCTAGGATCATGTCCATCTTGCTCATCTCCATTGGCAAATGGCCCTGTAAATTGTTGTTCGATAAGTTTAGATATAGCTTCAAGCTCTGTAATCCAGCGATTTCAGAAGGAATATTTCCGGTTAGTTGGTTGTAAGACAGATCGAGTATCTCTAGATTGATGCAATTGCCGATACTAGGTGGGATTTGGCCCGAGAGCCGGTTACCGTTGAGAAGAAGTCGCCGGAACTGTGGGAGATCTGCGAAGGAATCTGGTATTGAGCCAGAGAGTTCGTTGCCTGATATATCTAACAGGCCAAGCTGACGAATTTGGCCGAAAGACGACGGGATTTTACCGGTTAGCCTATTGTTTGAAAGGTAGAATCTTTCCAGCCGACGGAGGCGGCCAATTTCAGGGGGTATTGAGCCGTTGAATGCGTTGTTGGATAGGTTTAAGTATGTGAGGTTGACGAGATTGGATATGTTGGGATGGATTATTCCTGTGATTTGATTCTCCTCGAGGTGGAGCTGTAACAGGTTGACGGAGAGGTCGCCGATGGAGGCCGGAAGCTCGCCGCTGAGACCGTTTCCGGCGAGTTCCAGCTCTTGTAATCGAGAGCAGTTGCTCAATGAAGTGAGGAAAGGATTGAGATCATCAGTTGAAAGGTTGTTGTATGAAAGGTAAAGGAACTGCAAATAAGGCATATTGTTAAAGATATGCGGCGGCAGGCCGCCGCTGAGATTATTCGACTCGAGGTCGATCCATTCCAGTTGAGAAGAGTTGGAGAGCGTCGGAGGAATCGAACCGGAAAGATCGTTAGACCATAAGAGGAGGTAGCGGAGGTCGTCGAGCCTGCAAAGATCGTTACTTGGAAACGGAATCTCGCCGGTGAGCGAGTTGTTTGAAAGATCTATGTATTGTAAGGAGAGTTTGTGCATTTCATTCGAGTAGTTGCAGAACAGAGTTGATGGGATTTGCCCTGTTAGCTGGTTGCCGCCGAGGTCAAGATAAACAAGAAGGTTTAAAAAACCAAGCTGGAATGGAATGGTGCCGGAGAGGAGATTAGAGGACAGGCTAAGTTGCTTGAGGCCGGAGAGGGAGCCGAGCTCAGGGGGAATGGGGCCGGTGAGGAAGTTATCGGAGAGGTCGAGGACTTCGAGGGAGGAGAGGTTGGAGAGAACAGGGGAGACTCTGCCGCGGAGGCTTCGGCCGCTGAGATCGAGCAGTGCAACGCGTTGCAGTGGCGGTGGGTGGTGGCAAGAAATGCCTGTCCAGTTGCAGATATTGGGAGAAACATTCCAGTTTGTGAGGGAGAGGCGGCTGTGGGGAGCGAGGCCGGCGAGGAAAGAGAGGAGAGAAGAGCGGTCGTCGGCGGCGGAATGATGGATGGTTGCTAGGAGAAAGATGGCGATGAGATGGGCGGTGGCGGCCATGGAGGTTAGGGAGGGAGGTATTGGAGGAGCGATAGCCGATAGGATTTAAGACGGGGCGGTGCAGGGGAAGTGAAGGGCTGCCTAACTGGGGTTGACGATAGCCGTTATATTTGGCGGGAGGATTTGGCTCAACGGCTATGGTTTTTAGATGAGATACGTCGGCGAGTGGAGTCTACGTTGGCTTTTTGTATTCTAATGAGGGGAGGATTGCGGCTGGTGGAAGGATGAATGCATGCGTATTTTGCACTAATATATTTATAAGTTTATTATTACATTTGGATAATTGATGATGTCATTGAAATCATTATATTTTTTATCAAGATATAAATTTGAGTGTATCATGATTAAATTAGATTATTGATGAATTAAAAAATTATATTTATCAAAAAAATTTGACTTTATATACCCATAATAAAGAATTAAATATTAAATAAATAGATGAAGCCGATATTTTGATCATAGAAACTTCACGATCCCTCAACTATCAAGTTTCTTCTACGTACTTAACTTATGTGTTCAAGTTGTAGCAATTTCCCATAGTGATAATTCATCCTCATTAATCATCTATGAATGTTAATAATGTTATTTATTTGATTTATTTAGGAGTGATGAAATGAAAGAGAGGAAGGAGGTGATCATAGTATAAACCCTAAATCCTGGTATCTATAGATATACTATAAAGTCATAATATAAAATATAAAAATAAAAAAACTATAAAGTCATAATGTCTTTATATATCATATTACATCTACTAGCATCCTCGAAATAATGATTGATTCATATTAATACCATAAGCACTAAACTCTGAAGCTTGAAACTATAATTTATTATCTATTTCAAGCATCTTTGAAGATGTTGATTCATATTTATATTACATGCTATAAACCATATGCCTTGAAACTTCAATCATAATCAATCAATTTTTAAGATGCTTGAAACCATGATCGATCATCTTAGAGGTGTGCTTCGAACCATGCTTTGACCCTATTCGAAGATGCCTGAAACCATGATGAATCATCTTTGAAGATGCTTAAACCATGATCGATCATCTATAAATTGTTATTCAACCACTCTTCGGTCCATCACTTGATCATATTTAAAGATTCTTGAAACCATAATCAAATTATACTTTGAACCATGCATCAAAGAAAGATTAACCTTTTTCTAAGAATCTTTAGAATTAATTGATTTATATTTGATCATTGTTTGATCAACTTTGCTGACTCTAGCTGTCATGTTATGCATGCAAGTGTTTGATTTGATCATATCGATTAAGAGGCACTATATAACTTATGTTACATACAAGATTGGGGGTGTGATGGAGAAATTGGTCATATGGTTTAAGGCTAATGACCTCCTTGGCAATATCCAAAGATCACCCTTTGTTCAATTTTTGAGATCAGATTTAGTTTCTGATGCACATATTCAATAATTATGATTAAGGATTTTTTAGGAATTTGAGAATGAGTGGCATTATTTATATTTAACATTTGCAATAAAAATATAGCTTTTTGAATTATAAAAAAAAAACTATTTTGATCATTGGACTAAATTTAGAGAGTTCCGATCTGAGAGAACTTTCAAAAATTGAGCAGAAGCAATAACTTGCTCAATAACTACTTAGATGGGAACAAGAACTTCAAGAATATAGACTTAGAGAGAGCTTTCTTAAAGTAAATTATGTCATATAATGTGCGAAAGCTTGGACTTTATTTGTATATATGGTGTAAATAAAATGGTTTTTTCCCCCATAGATAAGTTTTGCATGGTTGAGGATGAGAAAGGATTATTTAGATACCCATGGTGTAGGCTAGATTTCGAGAAAATTTTGAGGTGCTAGAGAGGGATTAAGCTCATTATCAATCCATTGCATTGAAGAATAATGCCCCAACCCAATACAATATAATTAAATATAAATGCAACATCACTATAGTACTAGATATATGAAGATATACCAAAGACAAGGAGAATATGTGCTAAGTTGAGAAGAGAACCCTAGTTCCTAATTAGAGATAATTTATTGTATATATAATAAAAATTTGACGTATATACGTATTTGTTTAGATTTTATTATGTGTTTAATCCTAATTTAAATAACAAATCATTGAATATATTTTTTGTAAGCAATTATCCATATTGCATTGGTGCTTTGATAAACTAAGTAAAATATTTATGATCCATTATATATACCCTTACTTAGCGCATCTTAATTGTAGTTATGAGTAAGAAAGTGAGCCCATCCATTTTTAAGGAGAGAGAAAGTTATGCACAAAAAAAACAACCAACTAAAGAGGGAATAAAGCTAAATAAGCTTTTTAACATTATATAGAAGTTGAGGAGCAAGCAAGTTAAGCTTGAGACTAATTAAATAAGATTGGAGGAAAATGTAGATGCTTTGATAACTATTATACAAAGGCTTATAAATATAGAGAAGCACAAGTGGAAGGAAGAGAGTAAGGAGAATAACAAGGAGTATGGGGTCGAGGATGAGGAGGTGGAAGGCATATGAGATGTAACCCCATCTCTCACCTATATGCGTCCAAATAAGGAGGGCAATAGGATAAGGGATATAATCTTGTAAATAATTATTATACATGCAAATAGAGAGGAGAACATGCAGGCGATGTTTGTGATGCCCCAGAATTTAATTTGAAATAATTATTCTTTTTATCATTTAATAAACAACAACAACAAGCAGAGATATCTAATATCATATATCAGTAATAAACAACAAAATAAATTCTATAATTTAAAACATCAATATATATATATATATATATATATATTCATTTACAAAAAACCATATACATTATTGAGGATCTATACAATCATATCATAACTACTCTATCCTGAATACAAAAGAATAACTAGAATAAAAAGAACATGTCCCTAAAAAAATCTTGATAAGCCTCACGCTCCTACACACTTGCCATGACCTAAAATCATTTAACCATATATAATAAGCTTAAAAAATCTAATATATCATAAAACTTATAATTAAATTCAAAGCATGTTAAAGGAGTAATATGCTTGTCAACTATGAAATCATAACAGTTACATTCATATGATCATTGAATCAGTATAGAAATAGTAAAATTCACATGTAGTAGTAGAATCTATAATCAGTAAAACACCATAGTACGAAAGCCAATAAAATAATAAAGCAGTATGAGTGTCAATCTATAAAATAATCGTTGTATATGTAATAACAATCAATAGAGAAATTAGATAAAGTATCAAATCAAAACATCAATCTTTAAAATTAAATCAATGTAGTAAACTCATATAGAAATATATACATGCTATCAAACTATGCAATATCAGTATCAAATCAGTATTTTAATTATTCAGTACTTCACATGCTTAATATTAATATATTGAATCGGTAGTATCAAATAGAATCAATATCTATATCAGTAATAGTAACAATTCAGTGATAGGAGCAGTAGAATAATATAATAACAGTAAACCCGTGCAGTAAAAATAAATCTATACAATAATAAGAACAATGTCTCAAAAGCATGCATTTCAGTAGCCACATTAAATAAGTAAGTAGTTCTGGCTATCACGATATTTTTCAATATTGTATCACTATCAATAAATTGTTGACTCAGTAAATAGAGTCTTCACTCTTTGTCCGTCGGCACATTAATCATCTCCTTATAACTCCAATCAGTATCATGTGAATTAATAGAGGATAACACCAAACCATAGTATTTAAAGGAAAGTTCATCGGTCCACCATCCTATACAGGTCAATCAGTCTCCAACCAATGGGTTAATTAGTCTTTACTTATCTTTTACACCATATTATTATCATAGTACTATAATAATAATCTCAATCATATATCCATATTCATTTACAATGCATTGAAATAAATAAAATATAATTGAGCCATATTTAGAAAATGTCTAAAATGACTTAACGATAGACAACAAAGAATCTTATTAATAAAAAATACAAATATATTAAAAATTATCAAAATATTAGAAATTATATAAAATAATATTTTAAGAATTTTATTGTACTACACTAATATTTTTAGACTTCAAAAAAAAAATTTGTGTAGAAAAAAAATCATTGAATTTTCAAAATCACATTGTAAAAAATCTCAAATAAATATTTAAAATGCTCATAATCATGATCTCTACAACAAACAAAAAGTTATACTGTGAAAGTTTAGCCAATATAAAGTTATTCATATTTTTAGGTAATGAAAACGCAAATTTGATCAGAAAAATATTAAAAACATAAAATCTTTGAAATCAAAAATAGGGTAAGGCTTTTTTATATCGAGACGAATATACCAACTAGTCCAACTAACAAAAATCGCACTGCAGCCTCCAAATCTGAATTTCTCTTTTCTCTCTCTTCTCTCTTCTCTCATAATTACCCTAATCAAGCTCTGTTAGCTTAAACTAAAGAGACTAATGGCTTAAGAAAGAAGACTTGAGTGCTTTTAGATATTTTAATAAAATATAATATAATATTAATATTTTATTTAATTTAATTGTTTTTTTAGTATAAAATACAAATAGATCATTTTAGGACTTAAAAATTATTTAAAAAAATATTTATAAAATAAATAATTTTATTTAAAAAATATTGAAGAAATGATCGGTTTGCAAAATGGACACCTAACGGTCCTGAAATCCTCACTTCTACCGATATGTACCAATTTCTTAAGGATTTCAATGGCGTTCAAAAATTACAAAAAAAATTCATGCAAGTAAAATATTATAATCAAAATACTATGGCAATGATAGATTATAATTTGGAGTTATAACAACTCAAAAAAAAATGACAGTCAAAATATGGGTTATGACGATGTTACCTCATCTCTTACCATTATGCTTATTAGATAGGGAGGCTGAAAAGGTAAGGGATGTAACTATATCTCTTATCATCATACTTGTAGATTGGGATGCTAGGAAGGGAGGGAATATAATCTTATATATTGCCATAATGTATGTAGATAGGAAGGCTTACGCTACAGTAAA